ATTGCAACACTATGTACAACCAAATGAAACACTGTCCAGTCCTGCACCAGCCTCACAATCCTTGTTATACCTGAACACATCATTGCGGCCACTGTGGTCAATCCATCTTGTTGAAGGTCTTCCACTGGCAGTCTGGGGCATTCCAAAGCCATGAGAAAATCTTGGCTTGCTCTGCTTAGGGTCACTTTGTGGGTTTGTGGTTAATGGAGAACCAGCTGTGTGCATAGTCCCAGTACACAGAAGCCTGAAACTCCTGTTGGTGAGTTCCTCAAGTGCATTCACCTGAGTGACCTGAAGCACTCACCCTTCAGCTGTGGGCTTTACTTTTCTTATGGAAATGCTTGGAAAGTACATATTCTTCCCTCCTCCTACATGACTTGGCCAGCTGTTCTCAGAAATCTATGCCTTCAGTGGCTTGTTTGAGAAGATCTGGCTAAAGGCTATAGAGTGTCTGCCCCTGATATGCTAATGCCCTGACACCCAACCCACCTGGAGGAGGGGACAGCTGCATAGCTAAACCCTTGCTGCAAAGGAAGGTGTTGCTTAATGACTCTGGGCTTGCAGACATGCCCACATAGGCAGATCCAACACACCTTCCAAGATGGTGCCTCACATTTAATAGTCAGGGTAGCCACCACCTGAGGGCCTATGCACTCCAAACACTTTGCCAACACCTGACTCCTTGAGCTGAGGGCCAGAGACTCACAGTAGGTCTTGCTGGCCCCAGAGCCCAAGCTCTTTCCCAATGGGCAGTCAAGAGGTGGCAGCCCCCTCCCAGTCATGTGAGCATGGATAGACACTGCCACTTGGACCTCCTGTCCGAGATTGCCTTGTCACCTCTGCATGTCCATTCTCTTCCACAGCACTTTGTCTGTGCCAAGTGTGAGAAGCCATTCCTGGGGCATCGGCACTATGAGAAGAAGGGCCTGGCCTACTGTGAGACACACTACAACCAGGTATGGGCTGGGCAGAGTGCATTGAGCTGGGCAAGACTGCCTACCCTTTGGCCTTCAAGAGGCTTTGGGAAGTGTCACAGGGAAGTAAGCTGGAGAAGCTGGACATACTGTGGGAGTGCCAGGGCCCTGCAAGATTCTGACAGACCAGGAAAGGGTGTACTGGAGCCATCCTTGGACTCTGTTGTAAGTGAGAGACTGGCCTGGGTGCTCAGATCCTGGTTCCCAGCTTAGGTCTTGAGAATAAGCCCCTCTCTTAGCCTCAGTTTCCTCAATTGCCTGTTGTGAAGACATGTCACCATGCTTCTCCCTCCCACCTGCCATGCTTCTCCCTCCCACCTGCATCCAGTAAAACTGTCTGCCTACTCTGGTGTTGGCTAATAGGGTGGGGTTACTACTCTGGCTTGCATCCTCTCAAAGGTACCAGCAGGAGCAAAGGGACATTTTTGGGAAACAATGCCCCAAGCCCATTGTCCACCCCATGGAAGTGATTTTAATGGGCTGGAGTATCTTGATCTCAGGCTTGAGGCTGTGGCTTGCCAGGAAGGGCCCAGGAGGTCCAATTGGATTACTGAGAGTGGCAATCTGGGTGGACTGGGACTTGGATGTGTCTGGCCCTGGGCTGGGGGGAGAAATGGCTATCACCCACTGATATCATACTTGGCCCACAGCTCTTTGGAGATGTCTGCTACAATTGCAGCCATGTGATCGAGGGGGATGGTAAGTCTCCCTCTGTCCCTTGGCCTCTCCCCCCATTCCTGCCCACCCCCATTCTCCCTCTGTGCTGTGGGTCTTGCAGCTGCAGGCCCAGCTGGCTCTCACTGTGAACAACTGGGCTTGTGGCTGGTCTGGGGAAAGTCTCCTCACACCCACCCTCTGCCCCTCACAGTGGTGTCGGCCCTCAACAAGGCCTGGTGTGTGAACTGCTTCTCTTGCTCCACCTGCAACAGCAAGCTCACCCTGAAGTGAGTCTAATTGTCTGGCTTCCTCCTCCCCTTCTTATGGAGTGTATCATGGGGGCTCAGGGCTGAATGGGCTTTCTGTGGGCTTTTCCTTTCATCAGACACTCCCTTAGCACCCTTTGTTGCCAGGCCCTTGGCACCCAAGCCTCAAAGGTGGAATATGCACAATCGCAACTGACCCTGCAGACTAGGCCTTCGATGTAGGGGGTAGAGATGGTGGAGGGTGAGGGCATGGGGAGTGAGGGAAGAATGATTACTTGAGCTGGTAGCATAGTGCCTAAGGCACTTGACTGCTAACCAGAAGGCTGGCGGTTCAAACCCACCAGCCACTCCTTGGAAGGAAGGTTGGGCAATCTACTTCTGTAGTGATACTGCCTTGGAAACCCAAGGAGGGGTCGCTATGAGTAGGGGCTGACTTGACGGCACATGACAACAACAACAACAAATCCAACATACAGGCAAAGACGTTGGCCTTGGAGAGGGAGGGACATTTCAGCACCAAACCAAAACCAAACCCACTGCCGTCAAGTCGGATCCAACTCATAGCCACCCCTCCTTGGGTTTCTGAGGCAGTATCACGATGGAAGTAGATTGCCCAATCTTCCTTACAAGGATTGGCTGGTGGGTTTGAACTGCCAGCCTTCTGGTTAGCAGTCAAATGCCTTAAGCATTATGCCACTAGAGTTCTTCATTTGAGCACTGGGAGCAGCATATGAAAGGCACAGGAGTGAGACCACTGCCACACAGAGTCAGACTAGTGTCATCGAGCTAGCTGCCAAGGGTGCAGGTAGTTGGAACTGTGAGCAGTGAGGAGCCCAGTGTGCCAGGCTTTTACACAATGGGCAGCTGGAAGCCATAGAAGTTTCTGAAGTGTCAGAATCCAAGAGAAGTTTCTTGGAGGGAATGTAGGGCCAGAGGCCCATCTACCCATCCATCCATCCATCCATTGTGACCTGTGGCCAAGAAGCTCACCCTGGGCCTGGACTGCTGGGAGGAATGGAAGTGAAAAGGCTAGGGGCTGGAAGGAGCCATTCTTCTGCCCTGCACTCAGTCTGGGGGTATGGGTCTCTCCTGGAGACATACCCCGACTGCTGGCCCCCAGGAACAAGTTTGTGGAATTCGACATGAAGCCTGTGTGTAGGAAATGCTACGAGAAGTTCCCCCTAGAGCTGAAGAAGCGGCTGAAGAAGCTGTCAGAGCTGGCCTCCCGCAAGACCCACCCCAAGCCTGTGGACCTCAACTCTGCCTGAGGCCCTCCTGCCTGCCTGCATTCCCCCTCCATTTCCTGGAGGGCCTCCACATTTCCCTCTCCTTCTTGCTGGTTTCCCTCCCTAGATCACCTCCCACTTCTGCTTTCTGCTCTGACTCCTTGCCTAACCTCCTTCATCTCTCTCCTTCCTTTCCCTGTTTTATCTCCTCCCTCTTACTGTCCTTTCCTCTTTGATCACCATTTCCTCCTTTTCCCCCACTTCCCATAGCTCTGTCTCCCTTTCCTCCTTGCTATTTCTCCTCTCTTTCCTTCTATCCTGTTTGGGATAGAGGCTGGGGGGCCAGAGGTGGTAAGCTGTCACCATGCTCACATTTTGGCACAACAAGAGTCACTTGCACCTGTGTTTGGCACATTTCAACCAAGGTCCTCCAGGGACAAGAGCCCACGGTTCAGGGTCACCAGCCCCATTGTGGAGCATAGATCCTTTCTCTACTGCCCCACCCTAGCCTGTACTGATCTGGTGGCACAAGCTCTCCTAGAGGACTTATGTAGCCTCCATACCAGAGGGCCCCATTTGCCTTTCTAACCTATTAGCTGTCCCCACAATGTGGCACTGTGGGTAACTACAGCTGAGGCCAGCCCTGCCTGAGGCTAAGCCCCTGGACCAAGCAGATTGGGGAGCTTCTAAGAAACCACCCTGTAATCCCTCAGTCACTCGCTCAGAATTGGATCCCTGCCCACACTGGTCCAGCAAGTCCTGCCATCCCCTCCCCCCAATTATCAGGAGGGACAATGTTCATACATCTAGTCTATCACTCAGGTGGCTCCTTCCTCACATCCTGCCTGTGGCTTCCATGGTCCCCAGCTCTGCTCCTCTCCTGGATCTATGCTGAGTAAACCATGCTTCCTTCTTGGCAGGGACAACACCTGGATGTAATGTTCACACAGTGCACAATGAAGGCTTATTTACATGAGCACAAGAGTCCTGTGTTGTTTGTGGGTGGTGGGATCAGGGGCTGAAGGTGGTGGTGGCTGTGATGCCTGTGGATGCACCACTGTGGGAACTGCTGACTACTTATACACCAGACAAGTAGGTGAAAGAGTTGGGGCTTAGACCCCAGCCCCCTACTCTAGGGCCTGAGGTGGAAGACAGCCCAGTTGGAAGCTTGCAGTGCTAGTGGCTGAGCCCACCAATGCCCATATGGTGGCACAGTGGGAAGGTCAACTCAGGCAGAACCTGCCAGTCCACATAAGGATGAACTCAGGCCTCCCAGATCCTGCATCTAGCTCCGTCCTTTGTTCAGCAGAGGTTGACAGGGCTGCCCCATTCCCTGAGGTATGAGTGGTGTCTGGGTTGGGCTCACCATAGACAATTCACATGACCTGCACCTCTACTGAAGCCCTCCTGAGGATAGGCTATGTATTCCACCCACTCTGGGGAAGGAGAAAAGGTACAGTGGAACTCATAGATTTGGGGTGCCCTCTCCCCAGACTGAGAAATAGGAAGGAGGGAGGGAAGAAGGGAGAGTGAGAGGGGAAAGAAAACAGTGGATGAAGTCATTCACCAGAAGAGCTGTCATCCATTGTCCCTGAAGAAGTCACCATGCTTTTCCTGGAAAAGACCTTTTACTGCCAGTGTCCCCAAGCCTCCTATCCTGCCCCATTGCCCATTTTCTCATTGACAGACTTCCTTCTCAGTGTTTCACGAATGTTTATTGAACATTCTGGGGGTAGAGTTTCTTAGACTGCCCTCCCCAGGCTCACTCCTTTGGGGCCCAACTGGAAGGCAGCAGAAGAGGAAGCTGAAGGCCATGGGCCCAGAGGTGAGGGTTGAGGGAGGGCAGCCTGGACCTCTGGGGAAGGTGCCTGAGGCACCTAGGGGCTAGCTACAGCTAGGGCCCGGGAGCCCTGATGTTTGTTTACGGTGCTCAGGAGCTGCTGCACATATGAGGTTAGTAGGTCATCCATCTTGTAGCCCTAGACAGGGGACAGGGTTAAGTCAGAGGCTGTGGGGTACAGGGGGGCGTGTGGGGTTTTGGACTCAGGGTCCCTGCAGCATCCTCAGTTCTCTGCCTTAGCAGAACACCTGGCCAGGGAAGGCCCTGCTGACTTGGTGTGCCTATTTCTGCCTGCACTGCCAGGTGCTCTATGTCTCCTCCCACTGTAGAATGGCCCTGGACCATAGGGAACCCAGCCTCCAGGCCTTTCCACCATGGCTACTGGCTGTGGGCCCTGAGTGATTCACCCAGCCCCTTCTCTTACTCTAATCAGGGATCTGCTGGGTAAGCCTCATTTTTTGGGCATTTTCTTGCTTACTTTCCAGGTCTCTTATGAGCAGCTCTCCTAGTTGCAGTAGGGGGTGAGGACAACTGGGCTAGCTGTGCCTCACTCCCTGGGGTGTGGGTCTGGGTTGGGGCTCACCAGCGAAGTCTCACATAATAACCGGTTGCCTTGGCCCAGGCTCCCCAGAGCCATGTGGAAGTAGGTGCTACCACTGCTCCAACTGGCGATCTTGGTGAAGGGGTAGGTGATGAGCAGTTCCTGAGGTTGAGCAAGCAGGGGTGGATGAGATTGGAATGACACATAAGTCGAGTCTGAAGTACTTCCCAGGGGTCCACCAGAGCCCAGGGAATGTGTGTGTGTGTGTGTGTGTGTGTATGTGGGGGCAGGAAGATAGGTGTGATACACCTGAGCAGGTCTTGAGGACCCTGACAGCCCCCCACCCCAGCCTGAGGCTCTACTGCTACCTTTGTCTTGGGGTGGATAAGCAGAACCCCGTGTCGGTTGATGGCAATGAGGATGATGTCGGGATAGGAGGGGTCCGAGGTTTGCTGGGAAGGGAGAGCAAGGTGGTCACAGGCTACCCAGGAGGCCAGGTGGACAACTCCCGGGAATTCCTTTTCCCTGTGTCACATGCACACATGGGCACTCACATTCATTCAGACTTATACACTCTACATACACTTATACATATACACACATCCTCACATACACTCACTCACACACACTCATGTGCACTCCAGCATACATACTCCTGCCAAACATGGCTGCCAGCCTTCAGCCCAGATATGTCTGCTGAGCCAGAGCTGAGGGTCTGCCAGTTTTAGGACCTGGACATGGGACAGGCTTACCTTCACCTCAAAGAAGGCAGACCCAAAGGTGGGCCACCGGCAGATCCACTTCAGGAAAGCCACCTTGGCCTCCTCCACTGTCTTGTCCACGTGCTTGTCATAGGCCAAAGGGATGCTCTGGAGAGGTGAGAGCAATGAGGGAGTCACACTGCATGGAGCAGGGTGACTGGTATGGAGGCCCAGACTATGCCTTGCAGGGCACCCCAGCTTCCTAGGGCTCTGGTGTAGGGCAGGGAAGCTTTGATGCATACAGACCTTATGCATCCATAAGCTTTGATGCTTACAGACCTGTGTACCCCCCCCCCATCCATGTACCAAGCTGCTCTACTCTTAAGGTAGGGCCAGTAGTGTCCCAAGGCCCTCCCTAGCCTCCATCAAGCACCTTTTTCCATTCCTCCGAGGACATCAAGCGCATAAGGTTCTCAGGCACAAGGTGCCGCAGGATTTTGGAGACATTAGCCAGCTGGGACCGGTCACTGTCAAACTGGGCCTTGTAGATGAGGCCTGCTAGATGGAGGACATCCTCCCTGGAACACTTGTGGAACCCACGTAGGTACTTGGGCAGCTCCTGAGGCAATGGGCATGTGTGCATGTGAGAGTTGGACCTCAGGCCCCTGCTATGAACCACAAGAGATACACCCCTTCCTATTCAGATAACCAGGACCTGCATATTATCCTGCCTCATCTAGGAAGATGGAACAGGCAATGCACAAAAGCCTTCAGTGGGGAACTTCTGGCAAGGGTGCAACTATCGAGTGGGCAGGGCCCCCACATCTCACTGGACCCATGGGCTTGGCACTGCAAAGTGCAGGCTGGTATTTCTCAGGCTGCAGGACCTGTGCCTCTGTCCCTTCCCTTTGGCAGTGGTGCTGCCAGTGCTGGTACATTCACTATCCCCAAGCACTACTGGCACTCAGATCTGGCTCCAGAACCACCCAGACTTGGTCCTGTGGGGTGGATGCCTTGCCTGCTAACTCCCCAACCTCTCAGGATAGGGATCCAAAGGTAAGGAGGGATTAAGTATGCCCACCCAGAGCTGGCTGGGCCTTGCCTGGCCTGTAGGAGTATGCCTTGGCCCAGTACCTGATGGTAATGGAGTATGATGTCTGCATTCACATCCTTCCCTGGGGCCACATTGAGCCATAGTTTCCGCATGAAGAACACTTGGTAGGGGATTGTCATGGGTGCCCCTGGATGAGGAGTAGCAATAAGCACCAAACGTTTTCTGTGGCTTCACACCAGCCCTTGGCCACTCACTGCGCAGAAGGTCTGGCCTGGCCCTAGGACTCCCTACCCACTGCCTAGCCTCTGCAGCCCTTTATATTTTGCCTTTGCTCCTATTGACTACTAACCAGAAGGCTGGTGGTTCAAACCCACCAGCCACTCATCGGAAGGAAGGTTGGGCAATCATCAATTGTTGCTATGAGTCATAATTGACTCGACAGCAGTGAGTTTGGGTTTTTTTTTTTTTTTTGGTTGCTCCTATTGTACTCTTGATTGGAAAGCCATCTACCCCTTCTTCCTCCTAGGGCCCCAGCTCTCCTTTATCCTTCAAGACTAGTGTGGGACCACCTTTCCAGGAATGCTCCTGGACCTCTCAGTGGGATCAGGCCTGCAGTCCCTGTGCATCCTATATCACCCCGCATTATGCAATGTGCTTTGGCCCTGTCCCCATGCTCTGCCCCTGCCTAAGGTGAGAGTATTTCATAGGCAGGGCTGGGTTATTCACTCCTGTGCCCTCTCTGCCTGGTATCAGGCCTGGCTATACCCTATCACACAAGAGAGACAAAGGGGAATGAATAAATGAATGAATGAATGGACATGGGAGCCATGCAGAATATTTTGGGCTTGAATCTTCCCAGGTACAGGCCTGCATGGAGGGACAAGTCAAGCTTGATTGCAGATTGCAGTGTGGTATTGGAAGGAAGAGGACCAGGCCCTCCCCAGAGAGACAGGCATTTCCTTCCCTTCTCCTTCTCCTTTTCCACCCTACCTCACAGAGACCAACTTTCACCTTCTTTTGGGGGCTTGTTCTTCTTCACCCAGTCAGACACCTGTCTCAAGGAATCGAAGAAGAAGTCTCCTTCTTTCTGACTGAAGACCTGGGGGTGGGTGGGTAAGGGATGAGCCAGGGAGGCATATGGGTGGAGCTGCCTCCAGAGAGGGCACTGGAGGGGCTGAGCCTAGTTGGGCCCCTCTATAGCTCAGTAGACTGAGTGCCATGTTGGATGTACCACTATCAGGCAGTAGGGGCCTGGGATCTGAGTCCACCATTCAATTTCCTCTTCACTGAAGCTGGGGAGCAAGGGTCCCACCCAGCACAGACAGCTAGGGTGGGTGGCTGAGGTCCAGGCTATCCTAGGCAGCCTCCACAGGCCATGCTTTGCCTGCCCACCTGCCCAGCGCACCTTGTCAGCAATCTTGATGAAGAGGCTGCAGCCCTCCCAGGAGGCCAGCTGCAGCTTGGTGGCAATGCTCTGGCACACATCCCGCACACGCATGTTGGTGCCCACCTCCAGCATCTGGGCAGAGAGGTAGCAGGTAAGGCCTTGAGAGCTGTTCTAGCCCAGGATGCCCTGATCTGCTCTCCCCAGACCAAGGCTCAGCTTGGGAAATCCTGTGAAGCCTTACAGGTGTCCTCCTTGCTAAGACTTGGATTGGCCTACTCTGTGCCAAGGATGGTGAGCTCCCATCCCCCCAAGCCCTGTTCCAGAAAGAGGCCAGTTTTTTATGTTGTTTAGCCACAGGACAAACTTCCCTGGCTTCCAAACTTGCTCTGTGAGCCCTGCAACCAAACTGTGGCAATGTTCTGGTATAAGACTTGAATATCCCCAGGGCCACAAAGGCCAAAATGTTGTTGGGGTGGGCTGAGGGTGGCATTGCCACTTCAGCCTCCTTGCCCTCTTCTCATGTCTGTTCCTTCCCTGGGGCCTCTGTACCCACATGTCCTGGTGGGCCTTCTACCTCCCAACTGGGTCCTCTGCCATCCCAGCTCCGGTAACAGCTCTCCCCACAAACCACACTCAGTAATGGAACACCTGCTCACTATGCACTAGGCAAGGTCAGAAGCCCTTGGGGCTCCACAAGCCCAGGCCCCTCATCCTGCTTTACCTACTCTTCTTAGCTCTTCTCTCCCAGTTTTGCTGTGGCCCTCAGCTTGAAATGCCTAGTTTATGCCTTTGGGGAAGTCTTTGCTTCTGACTTCCTAAGGCCCCTAGCCTTCTTCACTATTCTGCTTGAGCTCCTGCACACCTGTGCTTCAGGCTAGCCTTGGATGTTACACCCTATCCCAGCCCAGCCAGGGCCTGGTTTGCACAGGGCACTTAGGTCAGGTTTGTGGGAGCAGTTTCTCAGAGTAGATGGAGGGAGTAGGAGAAGGACAGAAGTGAGACACTGCTGAGAATGGGCCTGTGTCCATCCTGTGTCCCTCAGCTTTCCTCAGATGTGTCAGCCAGAGGGGAGAAATTCACCTGCACCCTCTGTAAGGCTGAGACCCTTGTGCAGCTCAGCCTGTAAGCTGGGTGTCTCTGTGAAGGGCAGGCCCGTCTCACCTCACTGGTGTTGTTGGGGAAGTAGACCTTGTGGCAGATGCGGGTGACATTCTGCTCTGCGGCCTCCACCTCCACCTGGTGGGGAGGCTGCTTCCGGGGTCCCAGCCTAGAACAGTACAGGATACTGTGGACACCACCTTGCCCACCCCACCTGCCGAGCCTAGGCCTCCAGGCCTGGGATAGGGAACTGCTTTTATTCTCCATCTGCTTTTCATAGAAGAAAACTTTCTAGCTAAGAGCTAAAAAAAAGGGGGGGGGTGGGGCGAAGGGAAGCTCTGGTGGCATAGAGTCTAAGGCATTTGACTCTTTGCTAACCAGATGGCTGGTGGTTCAAGCCCACCAGCCACTCTTCAGAAGGAAGATTGGGTGGGCAATCTACTTCCGTAGAGATTCCACTTCAGAAACTCAAGGAGGGGTCACTGTGAGTCACAATCGACTCAACAGCAGTGAGTTTAGTGTGAGAAATAAAACAAGGAGTAACCTAGATACCCCTGTCTAGGGTACTCAGTGTATGTGGCCCCCAGAGGAGGTAATAGAGGTAGTCCTGGTCTCACTTCCTGGGACACACATAGATAAAAGGCTGGCCAGGCCAGGGACTTCTGGAGTAGGGGTGCTGGCAGATGGATGTGCTTGGACTGGTTTGTGTTTTTGTTCTCATGCAACAGGGGCATCAGGCAGGGTGGGGACCTGGAGCCCATCTCTCCCTGCCACTGAAGTCATGGGACCAGTCATTCGGCCAAGCCCATGAGGTGACCTCTGTCCCCACTCCTCTCCCACAGCTATACCGGGGAGGTGGGAGGCACTGAAGAGAACTAAGACTGATCCAAGGAAGAACTTCCCAACTGTGAGAGGGATAAGGTGCACACACACTCACAAGGTTGGGCCTCTGATTTCATCTACCTTTGACTGGGGCTAAGGTGGGAGAACAGCTTGGAATCCATGTCACTGTCTGGCCTCAAAAAGGTTCCCTCTGCCCTGGACTGACAGTGGTAGGGTCAGTCTCACTCTATGACAGTCTACTGGCAGCTTCCCTGACCACTAGCCGTGATTCCCTGAGGCTCAGTGGCCTTGTACTGCCTCCCCACACTGATCCCAGTTTCTAGAGAGGAGGGCTCTGCTGATGAGCTACCAGCAGCCCCACCATGGTTACCTGCATTCTTTCTGGGTTGCCTGTACTATTTGGTGAGCATGAGGGTGATAGGCTCACCTCAGAACTCTCTGGATGCGGCAGCTGCAGTCAGGGGCCAGCAGCTTCTTCTTCCGAGTATCCACAAACTTCTGGGCATGGGGCAGTAGCACCTTGCCAGGTGGGAAGAGGCCTGTGCAAAGCCACAGCAGCTGCCAGCCCCGCTCCTCGCTGTGCCTGCAAGGGTGGCACCTGTAAGCCTGGAGGCCTCCCTCCTGAGGCCTAGGACAGCCAGACATGTTGGGGAGTGAATCATGAGACCTGTTCTGAGGCTGTGGGGCATTACAGGGGAGGCTGGCTAGGGTAAAGAGTCACTGGACCCAGGTAAGGCTGCACTATGCTAGCCACTGCCCAACACCACAGAGACCTTTCATGCCCACAGTCTTATCTGCTATGGGGAGGGGACCTGTGCCCATTTTGTGGTGAAGAATACTAAGATCAGTGAGCCATGGCCTGACAAGTCACACAGGAGAGTGGTGGGAGCGTGACCCTGGCCCAGATTATCCTGTTCGCTGATGGAGCACACTATGCTCAGGGGTGGGGAGTGAGCAGACTTTAAAAGTCTTTTCCTGGTGGTGGGAGTCAATAGGGCGGACCTAGGTTCCAGTGTTTCCTGTGCCCACTCTGAGTATGCCTCACAAGTTGTTTAGCCTCCAGCAGCTTCCCTTCTGAGCAATGGGCATAGCCTCCTGGGGCCAGGCAGATAAATAACTCATGTGTGCTGCCTGCCCTCCAGCAGACCTGTTAGAGTTGTTTGTCAGTTGCTTCAGGATCTGGCAGTAGACTTCATCCTGCAAGGCCATATCCTGAAGGGCCAATGAGAAGATCTGGTCTGTGAGTTCCAAAGAGGACCAGGCCTGCCGTGAAGGGTAGTCACCCATGTACCTGAGGATAGGTATGGCCGTCAAGAAGAAATGGGTTGTAGGTGGCCCCAAAAGAAGGGTTTGCAGTATTTCATCTCAGAGGGCTGAAATGGTCCCTTACTGACCTTGACTGTAACTCCAGCTGACCTCTGACCCTGGCCCCAAGCTGATCCTCTAACCCACAGCTAGACTCTGACCCATGACCTTGGCTCTGTCCTAAACCTCAACCTCAGTCTCTCACTAACCCATATTTGGCTCCTTGAACCTAGTGCCACATTGATCTCTGACTCCAGACCCATTCTAACCATTGACCCTGACCCCACACTAACCTTGACTCTTGTTACACACTAATCCTTGATCATGGCCTTATACTTCTTGGCCCCAGCCCCACATAAACCCTTTTTGACTTTAGTTCCACCTAAACTAACCCTTGACCCTGACTCTATACTGTTCCATGCCCCAGGCCCACAGTGAGCTGTGTTCTGACTCTGCCCTATATTCTGTGAGTCAGCTCCCTCGCAGGGTGGCTGTGCTGTTCCCTGGAGGTAGTGCTGGCCAGGAAGGATATCAACAAAGATTTGGCAGGCAGAGTCTCGCAGGTTGGCATTTGCATGGACACACTTGAGCAGAGGCTGCCGCAGCGGCTCAGAAGAATAAGACCAAAGGTGGCCCTGGGTCCAGGCCAGGGAGAACATAGCTTTGCTGACTGATTCCTTATCTGGGGCCCTGTCAGGATAGAGGCCAGGCATAAGTGTCATGAGTGGCTTCTCTCACTTGGCTCCTCTTCTGCCCTTCTGCCCCCTCCCCCTCCCTTGTGGTGTAAAGCACATTTTGGAGAGAACCACACCCCAGACTCCAACCACACCCCATGGTCCATGCTCTCTGCACCCACTGGATTCATCTGTAAGGTGTGCCACTACTTCAGACCACTTGGGGTTGCTATGGGATTGCTGCCTTGGGCTCAGAGGGTCCCTGCCACACCACTCCTGGCTCCTCCATGACTGTTTGCTGTGGCCTCCCACAGCCCTGGAAGGGTAAGGCCTGGTTGGGCAGGCACCTGAAGAGCTCATAGGAAATTTCCTCCAGAGTGTGTGGCTCCTTGAGCTGTTCCTCAGGCGAGGGTTCTGTAGGCCGCCCCTCCCGGGTTGCCAGCTTCCGCTTTTCTGGTGACATGGCCAGCAGGAGCTGCAGGGCAGAGACTTGGGCACTTAGGAGCCACTGCCCACAAGGCCCCTCCTCAAGGAACCCCTTGACCTACTGGCCTCTAATTCAGGGAGAGTCCTGGCCTACCCCTTCCCATGTCATCACTGACTCAGCCTCTCTAAACTTATTTCCTTTCTCTTAGGGCATTAGCACTAATGGCTATGGGGCTAGACCATTCTGTTTGGGATGCAGCAACTCAGGGTTCTTCAGATCCATGGACCTCCTGTCCCAGAGCATCTCTGCTCAGGGGTATCTCTCATCCTTATTGGTGGTTCTCTTTCCTTCAGGCATCAGCAGAAACATCCTTCCCTCAGGGTGACCCCCATTCTACTATTTTCTCCCGTAAAAACCAGTGCTTATTCTTGGAAGCAGTTTGCACACTTGCAATTAATTGGTCATTAATTACAATGCTCCTTGAGGGCAGAGCTGCTATTTGTTCACTCCTGTATTGTAGGCAGCAGGCATACAGTAGGTGCTCAATATGTGCATGTTCAAATGCTTGCCCATTCTTGCCTTCCCATGTTATTAGCCACATTGCTTGGTCTTGAGGACTGGGGTAGGTTGGGGCACAGGGGAATAGGGACACATGGGTTTTCAGGACATAGGCTGTGGGTCAGAGTTTAAGTGAGGCCCGGGTAGAGAGAGTTTGGTCCTTGGGTGGAAAGGAGGGAGGAAACACCCATCACTGAGCACCTGGTAACTGGTGAGCACAGTGTGGGGCACTGCCCAAACACAGTCTGTGTCATCATCACTATCACCCATAGGGATGCTAGGGGCTGTGGAGTAGCCCTAATGCCAAGGTGGCTCCTAGCCTCTGCAAAGTGGGGTCCAGGCCCCAAGCTGGCTTCTAGTTGACATCCCAGGCTGGGCTGCACAAAGGTGGCATTTGGTTACCAGCAGCTGTTCCGAGGGCTTGACGATGATTGGGATGGTATAGATGCAGGCCATGGGCACCAGCCCTGTCTGCCCTGTCCTGTCATTCTCGCCCAGAATCCAGTTCTCAGAAGGCTGTAGTCCTTGCTTCTTTGACAGGATCAGCAAGTCCCCCTTCTTAAAGGACAGGAGGGTGGCATCATCTGTAGGTACAGGTCATACACGGGGACAAAAACCACTGTTACTGGGCTCTGCAGGGCCAGCTGTAGGCTGTCATTCCTGACCTCTTGACAGGTGAGGAAATAGGTGCAGAGCCAGCTGTTTAAAGCCCCAGTCATGGGATTAGGGATGGGAGCCTTCAGCTGGGAGACTAGTGGTCAGGCCCCTCCCCATACCCCTTTGTATGCACTTCGAGAGCCTCATCCTCAAACCTGGTCATAGGACAGACTAAGGGTGGGGCAAGTAGACAAGGGAGGGAGAATGTACAAGCTGGGGTCACCAGGCCTGGGCCTGAGTGGCAGTGATGATGAATCACTGTGTGAGTGAACTCTCTACGAGATGGAGATACTGAGGAGAACACTTCTCTCCCTCCTCAGGTTGATGTAGGGAGTGAATGAGTAAGCTGGGATCATGCATTCAGGGCTGACTGGAGACTCCAAACCTAGCCCTGCCTATGCAGTGGTCAGTCAACACCTTCTCCCTCCTATGTATCCCAGGAGTCCTCTCTGTTCTGAAGCCCCTAAGTAAACTTCACTTCCCCTAAGTGCCCTGCAGTGATTGTGTCCCCACAGCCCATGATCCTCATCTCCCCTTTCTCTGGAGTTCTGGCACACAAGTAGGCCTTGGGAAGAATGAGACTGCTTGGACTCAGACTCCCTCAGCCACACTAGCTGCTACTTCTCTTCTCTGAGTGCCCAATTCTGTGTCTATGAAGTAGGGTAACAGGATAGGGCTGGTGCTCAAAGCCCAGGCTCTTCACTTGGTGTGGGGGTACAGAATGGACTCTATTCTACACTCTGGGCCAAGGTTTACCCAGAAGGACTTGAGATCACCTTTTCAAATCCCCTCACTTTGCAGAAACAGCAGGTGAGAGAGGGAAAGATCTCTCCCATAGCTGCTCACCATGGTAGGCTCTAACCCTCCTTCCACTAACTGCCCCTCTTCTGGCAATTTCCCATTAACTGGCCTGGGTTCCTCCCAGCCCCTCCTGGCCAGGCACCTGTAGCATTTCTGTCCTGCAGGGCCATGGCAAACACAGACCTCTCCTTCAGGCCCTCCAGGAACATGGCCACCAGTTCTGCAATGGCCACACTGCTGGGGGTCGCAAACTCGTACTCCTCTTCATGTAGCGTGGAGAGTGTCAGGCTTTGCCTGCTCTTGGCTGCCCTGAGGGGACACAGGGTGCTGTGTGACAAGAGGCCTCTTCCCTCCCCTGCTTCAGCCCCTGTATGGCCACAGAAGGAAGGACTCTCTGGAGCTACAAATGAGGTTCAGTAACTTGCCAGGGCCAGAGCCAGAGCCAGAACAGTACCTGACAGGCATATGTGAGCCTAGGTCTACTGGGTTCTCCCAGATGATGACGGGCAGGGGGAGTGGGTATGGGACTATGGCCTGAGGACCTGAGTTCAGAGACAGTTGGAGTTGCCGAGCCCTGGTATGTTAGTGTCAGGTATGGGAAGTTGGGGAGATGGTGGTGGTACAGGGCCATGACAGGGCAGCATACAGAGAGGGAGAGCTGAGAGGGGGTGCCTGCTGTGCAATGTGGTCACCCTGGGTCCTCAAGTAAGCTACCAAGCCTCTATGTGCTCAGTTTACTCACCTGCATAATGGGTGGTGCTGCAAGTCTTCACAGTATGTATAGAAGTGCCCAGCACACAGTCAGCCTCAGAAAGTGGTGTCTTGAGTGCACCCACCCCAATGGTAATGATCACAGTGGTCATGTTAACCATGATATACTTTAGCCTGGAGAGGGTGCTGGCAGTGTGTGGGCAGGGCACTGCAAAGGGCTTGAAGACGTTCCCAGTAGGTGAGAGCCATGGAGGCTCTTGAGTGGGGATTGGATGGAGACTGGGTAAGTCCAATGCCCAGCCCTGACGTGAGGCCATATATACCCAGGCTCCACCCCCTCCTTCCTCTAGGAAATCCGTACTCTTATTGGGAGCAGCTCTTGAGCGTGAAGAGGGAAAAACCAAAAAAATCAAACCCACTGCCATCAAGTCGGTTCTAACTCATGGTGACCCAAAAGGCAGTAAATCTTTACAGAAGTAGATTGTCTAGTCTTCCTTCCTTGGAGTGGCTGGTGGGTTTGAACCTCCAACCTTCTGGTTAGGAATCAACTGCCTCAGGCACTGTGCCACCAGAGATCCTTATGAAGAGGGAAAGGAAATGATAAATGAATGTACACCAGAAGGCTTCTATAAGCTTAATGTGCTTGTTTCCAGGGTTTTTAAAAGAGGGCAATGTTAATGCACAGGAGTATTTAATGAGGGACAGGTAGGGTCATTTCCTATTCAAATGACCATCAAACTGTAGCTGTTGATCCTTGTCCTCTCACCCCAGTTGGCTCCTGGGGGCAAGGAGCCTCCTCTCTCCTGTCTCTCCCTGGACCCTCATGTTCATTGTTTCAAGAACTAAGGTTGTGATTTGGAGCATCTTCCCTCAGGGCACCCACCTGCTGGTGACCAGTCCTGTGACCTCTGGAAAGGAGAGTTCTAGAAGCACCTTCTCTCTCTGATCCAGGAAGCACAACCCCTTCCAGTTCACAGCTAAGATCAGCTGAGTCTTGGGAAGCTGAGGGCCTGGTGGGAAGAGAGGTGGTGTGAAGCCTGAACTGGCCCCAGGGCCCAGCCTTCCCCAGCCTTTCCAGTGTCATTACCAGAAAGTGCAGTAACTTCAAACAGCCGAGAGAAGAGCAGCGGCCACTTTAGGCGGGCTGTGTCCACCACCTGCTCCTTCATAGCCAGCACTGTCTCTTGCTTCTGGTTGTATGGTGCCTGAGTGAGAGCCAGAGCTTGGGATGCTGATGTCACCTCCACCACAAATCTCTCACCATTGCTTGCCTGCATAACCAGTCGCTCTATCCTTCCTAATCCCTCACCCAGTATTCAGATTTTGTTTTGTTTTGATGAACTATTCTGAGAAGTTTCTACCTTATGTAAAGCAAATGCTTGCTGAGGGTTGGGGGCCAGAGAAGCTTTGGTGGGGTAGCTCCAACCCCTTGTTTGCCTTCCTTTGGGTGAGGACATTTCATGAGGTGGTTTTGGAAAGGGAAGAAGGCTTTTTAACTTCTTTAACATTTGCATGCCAAAGGGTTGTAGGATAGGCCTGCTACTCATTGTGTCTCAGCACAGAGGCTGTGCAAGCCTGTGCATATGTATGTCTATGCATATGTGTGTCTTTGCATGTGTCTGTGTACATGTGTCTTTCACATTTGTGTGCATGTGTCTGTGCACTCATGTGTCTGTATGCATGTTTGTGCATGTATATCTCTGTGTATCTCTGCACATGTATCTGCATGAGTGTGTCTCTGTGTCTTGCCTGTTTGTGTGCATGTATCTATATGCACTAGTGTCTGTGTGCCTGTTTGTGCAAGTGTCTCGGTGTGTCTGTGCACATGTGTGTCTGTGCATGTGTATTTTGTGGTCTATGTGCATGTGTTCATGCACATGCATGTCTGTGTGCATGAGCCTGTGCACACACGTACTTCATCTTGCAAATACACACATCATATGGGTCTGTGTCTTGCTCTGTGCCTGAGGCAGGCTTGTTGTGTGTCTCTGTTTCACTGAGACCTTTCTTCTCTTCTTTTACATATTTGGGTATGTCTTTCAGGGATCTCATACCTTCATGTCAACTTCTCCCTTTTGCAGGCTCTGCTTTCAAGTTTCCTTTCCTCTCTTTTCTCCACCTTCATCCTTTCTTCTCCTCATCTATCTGCCTCCTAACTGGCTATATAATATATACAATGGAACTTTCTTTTTATTGCTCGTTTGCTGAATAAAATATTTCTCTTGCTCCTACATAAAAAAATGGCTGGGTAATCTTCATGTTCTGGTTTTGGGACTGTAAATTGATACAACATATCTGAAGGGTGGTTTGACAATATGCAATCTGCATGAAATGTTTTAGAGCAATCATACACTTTGACTCAGTAATCTCATTTCTAGGAATTTACCCTGATGAAATAACTGTCAAGTGTATAAAAGTAAAGGCACTCTTGTGGTATAGTGGTTAATACATTTGGCTGCTAACCAAAAGGTCAGTGGTTCAAATCCACCCAGCTGCTCCACTGAAGAAAAATGGGGTAATCTGCTACCATAAAGACTTACAGCATTGGACACCCAATGGGGGGTCACTATGAGTCAGAATTGACTTTATGGCAGTGAGTTTGGCTTGTTTTTTTGGTATAAAAGTGGCTCACTTCATTGTTTTAGCAATGAAAAAATGGGTAATAAACTTAATATTCAACAATAGGAATCAGTGAAGTAAATTATGATTCATTAATGCAAATACTATGCAGTCATTAAGAACAAAGATAGAGGTTGGGAAGTGGTAAATATGGTGTCATCTTATTTTCAAGTGTATTCTTCTCTCATATATATATACATACATATACATACATATATATGTATATTCATATGTATATGCATATATATTGTTGTTGTTGTTATGTGCCATCGAGTCGGGCCTGACTCACAGCGACCCCTCCTTGGGTTTCCGAGGCGGTATCACTACAGAAGTAGATTGCCCAACCTTCCTTCTGAGGAGTGGCTGTTGGGTTTGAGCTGCC